TTAAGTATTGCTGATGGAAAGAGCCAAAGCCACAGGGAGGAACCAGACCATCATTTGATGGTTGAACAAATATTAAAGGAGTTTCAACCAAAAATCTCCTGTATGAGCTCTCTGTGACATGATCTGGTGTATCATTGTGCACTTTAATCTGATATCTCTTATACAATGCATACTCTTCAAGATCAAAACTAGACCTTTTTAAACGAATCTCAAGCTTCTTTGTTCCTTGAGAATTTATAGAGCACTTAGAAATAGATGAAGAGCTTTTGCTTCCACTCCCTGTTGCAGATTCTTCAGGTAGAGTAGCAATTTGAGTGTCTCCATCTAAATACTCATCTTTTCCAGAGGAATAAAAATTGATATGTCCCTTGCGAGCCCCAATGGACAGACCAGAAAATTTGGCCAACTGATTTAAAGAATTCACAACCTTCTGTGCAATAAATTCGGACTGCTGGACATCCTTCCCAGCTGATTGTGCACACTTTAATGTGGCTGCTGTTTGGAAGGCAATGTTGCTTGTATATACAAGATCTTCTTCATCTAAAAGCTTCTTTTTGGAATGTGAAACCTTTTTGACTAAAGCTTTCGGCAATTGAGTGCCAGAAGGAAATTCCCCACCCTCAATGCATGCATGCACCGCACTGTCAATTTGATTAGACAAATGCTGCATAAACTCTTCCGTCTTTTTCTCTTGTTTATTCTTATGAGACAAAGATTCATCTGCTGCTGAGCTTGAAACTGGATGGACACAGCTGCCAGTAGTTGAATCCTCTATAGGTTGAACTGGTTTTTTGACATCCAGTGTGCCATCTAGAAACCTAGGCATATACCAACATCAGAACTCAATGAAACAACTTTCTCCTAAAAGAAAGAGGGTGTGTGTGGGTTTATTTAGAAAATTAAAATTCGACCAATACATTGAGAAAATTTCCAGATATTTCTGGATATCTGTCGTTAATTAAGACCAAGACTCATTTTAGGCAGAAAATATCCAAAATTTGAAACTCTAGCAAAGGACAAACAAAACCCCTCAAGTATTCTAACCTTGACGTATCATGGCTAAATAGTCAATTTCTAAGGGCTAATAGGCTATGACAACATTTCTTGAAAAGGTGCCATTTGAGAAGTTATAGCAAAAGGAACAAACAAAGAAATACTATATTATTATACCTCTGCATTCGTCTATACACTCGATTTTGCTCTTTTGAAGGAACAAAATCACTTGCCTTCAAACGAATGGTAAATGATGGGCAACATGTCGTTTCCATCTCAGGTTTGTAGAGGAAGCATCCAGATCTCCTCCATCCCCGGTCAAGTAGATCTAACAAAATAGACATAATTAAATTAGGCAACTAGAAAGATAAAAATAATCAGAAAATGGAAGATATAATTTACGCAGACAAAGATCATCCAAGCACAAAGAATTGTGAGAAAGAACAAAAAGCTAATGCATCTAGCACTGGCATAGAAATAATGGACAACAAAATCCACAGGCAGATTTAAGGACAATGTTAATACAAAGAAAGAGAAGAATCATTAAAAAAGAGCAGGCCTAGGGGGCTCTTAACCATGTTGATTCCATGACTCTGATTCAAAGCAACAAATTTAATAGGAATGCAAACAAACATCGTTATGAAAGCTGCCGACATTACATGCCAGAGAAAAAGGAAGTTCTTCTTCAATGTACCCATGGAGTTCTCATCCAGGAATCAGAAAGGTCCTCACTTGTATCACTAGGATCCACCTGGCTGGATCAGGTACTACTACTAATGGACAGACAAAACAAACAAGACAACATTTTTCAAAAATCAATTTTGTCCTTGTCAATAGCACCTTCCACTTCTTAAGTCTTATCTATTATTTGTTTGAAAATAAATGAAATAGAAATAGCATTACACTTAGGGGGAAAAAAAAGAGCAATTGAATTACCATGTTGTTTTGGTACAAGTCTAAGAAACGTTTCTCTCTCTGTTCCTTTTCATAAACTTTTCCTAAATGACAGACCTTTACGTCGTTAGGTATGACAATCTCAATTCTACATAACTTTGTCATTACCATACAGAAGCTACGACCAGCAAAACGTGATTACAAATTAGAGGTTTTAATATTCTTATGTATGATTACTAATATTAATTTTGCAATTTGCATAAAAATGAAGAATAAATCAACCTTGATAGTCATCAACTGTAATGCTTTGTGCCCAGAGACCTGCAGAAACAAGGTCAAGTAGAATAGTGAGAATCAGAAAATTCACGTCTTGAACTCCGTCTAAACACTTCATAAATGATAGTACTGCAGTAACATAGTAACGCAACAATATATTTTGAGTCCGTCGACAAGCCTCAAGAGAGGCAGAACACAGTTCTATGTCTGTATATGTCAACTAACTACAAATCATCGTTAACCGTATTCCACTTGGTGTCCTCAGTGCCCAGATCGTCTAGTTCGGTAATCATGGCAAAACACCACAGGTTTAAGGGAACATATTCAAAATTTTGCAAAATTATCACAATCAATTGAAGAATTCATGTCAAACAGAACCGAAATAACAACAAAAACAAAGCTCAATTGATCCGAATCACGAGTGCATCAGGGAAAATCCTCTAAAATGTGAAAACAAGAAAAACAATCAGCAAAAACAGAACAAAGAGCAGAGATTCAACAAGACTGACCGTGAGAGATGCGGGTTCCAGCGCCAGATTTGCAATAGCCGCAAGAGCTTTCATACCGACCGTAATCCACCACCACGCTCCGTCCTCTCATTTTCGATTTCTTCACGCCAAGATTTCAGCTTCTCATCGTCGAAATTGCAGGTGTTTAAGCTCCAAAGCCGCCGTGAACCTCTCTCTCTCCCACCTCCGTTTACCTCAGCATCTAAAGTA